TTTTTTTTTTTTTTTAATAATTAATTCTTCAAAAAATAAATTATTCAAAATGTTTGTTATGATACAATGATATTAAATATGGTGAACAAATGAACAATACTGGTTATGTGAATATCAAAATAATACAATATGCGTCTCCTTATTATCCACGTGTTGGTTACTCCAAAAAAAGACTAGATCAATAATGATCCCACTTGAGCGTGAAATTTTTTTTTTTCACCGGTGATATTCGTAATGTCAACATTGATTTAATGTTGAGACCAGTTGATCGATTTGAGATCAATACCTTCTTGAACCTATAAAAATGAATCATAGAAATTAAATTCATATGTTTAATAAATGATACATGTGCCGTGCGACATTATCTTACCATCTCCCAAAGAGGTGACATTTCTCTCAATCTATCCACGTGGTTTACTACTCTATCAACAACAAAATCAACTTCTCTTTCAGTAGTAAACCTTCCTATACCAAATCTGATACTAGAATGTGCCATATCATCATCTGCTCCTAATGCACGTAATACATAAGAAGGTTCCAATGAAGCTGATGTACACGCTGAACCAGATGAAAGTGCTATATCTTTAAGAGCCATTAAAAGTGATTCTCCTTCAACATATGCAAATGAAAGGTTAACACATCCTTAAAAGAGATGGAGAATTAGTAACCGAATTAATATTTTTTGTAAAATTACTCTCCGTTTTCAAAATCTGTACCTGGATATGTTGCATTGGGATCACCATTACGAACTACATGATTTACTTTCGATGTAATTCCATCAATTAATCTTTTCGAAAGACGGTCGATACGGTTTGCATCATACTGTAATAAAAAAAAAAAAAAGGCAATTAAGAAAGACATCATATAATTTACATATTATATAAAGTTTGTAATTGCTGCTTCAGAACCCCTACACTGTTTTTTCGTCATATGTTTATAATATTATTATTCTCTCGATAAAATTTAGCGGTTTATCATCATTTGGCAGCAATTTTCACAAACTATCATTACTATCATTATATTCACCTGCATTTCTTCCTTAGAGATTCGACAAGCTTCACCCAATCCTACTACTATAGGTGTAGGAACAGTTCCACTTCTTAATCCCCTCTCTTGTCCTCCACCACTTTGTAAAGCTTCGACTCTAACTCTAGGTTTTCTCCTACAATACAAAGCACCAATCCCTTTCGGTCCGTAAATCTTATGACCCGAGATACTCATTAAATCGATATTCATCTTATTGACATCCAATGGAATTTTTCCGACTGCTTGAGCAGCATCTGTATGGAAAAATACTTTTTTGGAACGACAAATTTTACCAATCTCTTCAATTGGTTGTATTACTCCAATTTCATTATTCACTGTCATGATGGATACGATTGATGTGTCTGGTCGAATAGTTTCTGCTAATTGATTTAAATCAATAAGACCAGATTTTTGAACCGGTAAATATGTGACATCGAATCCTTCTTCAGATAAAACGCGACATGAGTCAAGTACACATTTATGTTCCTATAGAATACAATTGTATTATTAATTGATAGTTAAATATATTAATTGATGGTTAAATAAGAAAAAATATATAATTCAAAAAAAAAGTGTAATTACAATAATAGTCGTGATAATATGTTTTTTTTTAGCTTTATAAAATCGAGCAACTCCTTTGATACCCAAGTTATTCGATTCAGTTGCACCTGATGTAAAAATAATATCCTTAGCATCTGCTCCTATTAAATTGGCCACATGCTATGAAAGTAAAATATAAATATTAGGTAAGTACTAAGTAATTCTAAAATAATCGAAATATTAAAAGAAATTACATACTTGACGAGCCATATCAATAGCTTTTTCAGCTTCCCAACCATATGCATGAGTTCTAGAATGTGGGTTTCCATATTGTTGTGTTAAATATGGCATCATTGCGTCAAGAACACGAGGATCCGTGGGTGTTGTAGCTTGCATATCTAAATAAATAGGACGAGATCCTTTTTTAACTTCGGTCTCCTCAAACCCTAAAGAAACTATAAAATAAAAATAAGTAAATTAGAAAAAAAAATTAAAAGAATTATCATTAGGTAAGTTCTATATACGAACCAGGTGAAGGAGATACGAGAGTTTGCGTTATAGTTTCAACGGCAGCAGCTTTATCAGGATTTGTCGCAGAAGTAAACCTTTTTTTATTTAATAATCCAACTGTTAGAGTAGGCATTACTACTCTTTGTGATGGAATAACATTACGCGCGATCCCGCGTGTCAATACCCTTGAAGTAGCTGTACGTAACATTATTTAAAATTGAAAATGTACAAAAGACAGACAAAAATTGAAAATTGGAAAAAAAATAACGATAGATTGAGTTTAACTTTACTGATTATTAATTCTACTATTCTAATAGCAGATAGTGTCACAATTGTCACATGTTCAACATGATTACATCAATCACATCAGTAACGAAATTAAGTTAAAAGTGCATACGGAACTTAGAACTTAGTAGGTAATGATAGTTATTTTAACCTACGATATTTAAAAACTTAGAATTAGATTTTAAGTAGAACGTGTAATATAAATAGTGATTTGCAAGGGTACACGCTCGCGGAATTTCGAGTATTATATTAACGGGCAATTTTACTACACCGCGCAGTCACTCGTTTATAGGTTTCCAGGCCAGGTATTACAGTATGTCTCTTTCCAACATTCGAAATCTCGCTTAAAGTATCCTTAAAAAACTAGGGGAACGATATTGTGAATGATAAAGATTTACAGCGCAAGGGAGTTGCTCACAATGCGAGAAACCTTAACTTTGAGGTATTGTTATGTCGGGAATAGTCTATAGTAAAATTGTAATTGAAAGTTACAAATAAGTGTTTGAAGCAAAAAATTTTTGAATAAATATTTGATGTTCTAGTCATAAAATTTATTTCGATTATATATATAGCAATAGATTCGCTATACAACAAATTACACTTTGGATATCCGTTATCCGGATATCCGTCGGATATTAAATTCTAAATCAATTACTACAACATTACGAAAATAAAATTTTAAACTGTAATTATTGGCTTAATGACTACCTGCTAATCTGCGGGTTACTATGGGCGATCTTCAAAATTGTTCAAACAACGGATCTAACCTCTAGTCTATAATACTTCAAGTTGCCATTTGCAAGACTTTAATATTCTTACTTGCTCTTCTTAGTTAGAATCATCTAAAGAAGGATTCAAGACAATCCGTCAGGATAAATGGGACGAAATTGTCAAAAAACCTTAGTACCGAAATCTGTGATGATTTTCCTTTAGATCTTGCAATCGAAAATGTTACCGAGAGACTATATACAGGAACATTTAATTATCATGACTTGTTATGGGTATAAGACCTATACAAGCGATTGTAAGTAATGATAGGTATAAACTGATGTATGATGGATGTATTTTAATACTTTTTATTTCCGTTTAGTTTATTTTTTATTCAGAGTACCTATTAATGTACTATTTGACCCTAAACAAAATGAATTATCGTACCAAGAAAATTTCGTTAACCCCATTCTTGCAAAATTGTTTGATGATATAATGGAGATTATTCGAGTAAAAACGTGGGGTTGAAATTTGAGTAGTCCGCCATTCATTAGCATATGCCGATTTTTATCTACCTAATTTCATTTACAGTGGAGATATTGAAAATATTTCTAATAAGACCAACAAAATGAAATCCGACAATACTTGCAATGAGTTAGCATCAGATCAATCAGATCGATGTCATCAAGATGGTATTTTTGAAGTAAATGTTAATGCAACTACATTAGAAATAGGTTTCCTAAAAGTGGTAGGAAACGTTCTTATTGTTAACATTAAAAAGTTAGATGATGATCTCAATAAAGTACTGAAAGGTAAGTGATTTGCTATACAATAATTGTCTTTTTTTAATACTTTTATCTTATACATGTACATTACCCGACAGAAATGCAGATATCGCTGTTTTACCAATGATAACACCACATTCAACGTGGAGCTAAAGATCGGGTTCTCATCTCTTATCCTGTCAAATTCCAAGCAAATGGATTGGGTCGTCTCACTCACCGAGAACTACGAACCTGTTTATGGTATTCAATCAGCGCGATGCACTAGTATCATTACTCATTGGATAACGAACCCTTCTTCATTCCAATTACTCTTCACCGCTGCCATGGTTGTAGATTAAACTCTAATAGAAAATATTTCTCCACTACCTCGGATCCACAAATGTGCACTGTGGAGATCTCGCTCTTAAAATCCATGATTCTTCCTACAAAAAAGAAGTACGTCACCAAATCGATCACAACTTTCCCACCCTGGTTACTTGGACCGAAATTAAAGATACTCTTCAAGAATATTGTGATCGTTTGAAAATTAGTCCTGATTTTTCTCCTGTCGACCCTTCCTGTTCAAATGTACTCGTGACACCCTCGTCTTCCACTGTTCAACCTTCGCTAAATCTCCGCTAGCTCCTGTCCAGGACGCGTATTACAAATTTTATACTAATGGCTCTCTCATCAATTTGGTACACCTGATGTATCCATGGGCTGGAGTTGGGTCCAAATCCACGATGACTACTATCGCCTCATACGCACTAGATTCTTGCCTCGTATCAGCGACGTCTGATTACAAAGATCAACGAAGCTGCCACTTCGGCTAACCGCGACCCGATGTTTATGTCAAATGCCTCACATCTCTTCCTTGTTGGACCTTTTCGTCCACTTTATCCAAGACGTATATGGAATCCCGCTCCTATGACAAAGGAAATTGGGAACGTTCTGCTAATATTTCCTCTTGCCATGAAGACTTCATCCCAACCATCAAATTTACGTCTTTGCCTCATGTCACGTCACGTGACTCCGCTGCCGATTGGCTTAAAGACTCGATTACTTATGAATTAAGTTGGTATAATCATTTTTTGGGCTTTATGGGTCATCTAACGGTGCTAAAATAACAATATGTACAAAATTATCTTAGCGTTCACTCATAAATTACATAACAACTCTCGATGGTACTAATGAATTAGATTTATAGCTTTATAATTGTATTCATGAAATATGTATTTCTAATAAAGGATTAAAAACTTCTTTTGCAATCTGCACATTACTATTATATAATTTATTTTTGTGTGTATGCCACATGTGTTTCATTGAGTTTGCAGAGAAAAAAACTATTTGAGATAATTGATAATGACTCTTCTAAGGGTTACCATACCAGTACAGCATCAGTAGTTGTATAATTATAATTAAATTTGACATCGATGGTTGGCTTTTTCATTTATATTGGCAGAATTATTTGTGTTGACATATTGAATCACCTTCTTTGACTTTTATTATCATTGAATGGAATGCATATATAATTTATTTTGAAAACAAATGATTATTTGTTATAAAAAATAAGTATAGAGATATTATCTAAAAATTGATATATTAGAAGATTGCTTAAACACCAATACAAATTCATATTTAAAGGAATTTATTTATCCAATTTTTTTAACAATAGTGTAATAAAATTGAATTTTACATATGTAATTAAAATTAACAATAATGAATTATTGGCTAAAAAACATCAAAAAAGATTAAATAAAGTAAAATATAAATGTACATTTATTATTTTTTTTTATTTTTTGGTTTTTATTATTGCATTAATCTAAGTTATAGTTTATATTGGTAAAAAAAAATTTAAAAAAATTTAGTTATATGATTTTTATTAATTTGAATCTGAACTACTTTTTTTAATAATTTCTATTATTATACTTCTTCTTTTCTTTAATATAACATTTTTTTAAAAAACTTTAGCTGCATATTTATTAAGAACAAATAAAGAAAATTACAATTATACAAAGTTACAAATGAATTAACTTAAACTATCTATCAAAATAAACTATTTGTCATCCTATTTTGAGATCCCATATATGTACAATTAGGCAGTTATAAAAGGACTCCAAACAATATTAATACAACTCATATTTGAGATTCTAACAGTAATTTTTATTAAGATATATTCGCACTAGAGTTTGGAACCGGATGCACCATCCGGTTTTTAAACCGGTTCCACCCATTTTTTTTACGATTCGGTTCAATCCGAATTCATGCTGCAAAAACTGGTTTGCGTTTAAAGCGAGTGCAACCGGGTGCTCAACCCGGTGTGATATCGAAACTTTATAGTGCTGGCCCGAATTACAAAATTATAAATCACGTGATACCGGGTAAATAGTTTAGCCACCAGGATTTTTATCAGTTATAGAAAATTATGCTACACAAATTCTGGAATTGTGTTACACAAGTTTTGTAATTCTGGCCAAAATTATAAACTCAGCCAATTATATGCCGATCACATTTAATTCTGGCCAAAATTACAGTATACTGTACACTTGACAAATTCATGCGGGTTGTCAGCAAATAGAATTTTGTAATTTGTCACGTGTCCCGTATATTGTGTAAGCCGGATGCAAAAATGGAAACTCTAATCCAGGATGTAGATCATAGTAGAATTCCATAAGTTAACTGTTAATAATTGAAAACCAGGAACGTGACTTCAGATGCGGCTAACTATTACTTTATTATTTATTTATTATAATTAAACAAATATAAAATCGGGTACAAAAATCGGTTTCAACCGGGTTTGTAAAAACCGATTTGAAAAGGATCGAACCGGTTGCACCCATTTTAAATCCGGTTTCCAAAAATACAACCGGTTCTAAACTCTAATTCGCACATTACAAAAAGAAGTAAAAATAAAATAAATATCTAACTAAAAACAAAATAGTCACACAAATTTATACATATAGAGAAGAAACTAAACTATAAAACCTAAATTTGTATATCCCAACTTTAAACCTAAAAAAGCAAAGTTTCAAATCAACTACCTAAGTCCAATCCATCCTACCTTACAATCCAGTAAGCCAAGACCTTAAATCGGACGAGGACTGTTCGACTCTTCAGAAAATCTGAGAGGTTGTTAAGCCAATTAGTTCCTCGGATTATAGCAGAATGCGTCTAAAAAATACCAAGTGAGGACCATTCAGAAGCCTGAAGCGGAGAAGGAGACTCATTGGTCAGGAAAGAAGTCACCAGAGAGGTGTCATAATGGAAATTTGTAAAATCGGAACTTCTGGTCATGCGAAGAAGAGTGGGCGTGATATTTAACGCCTTATCTTTGAAGGATACAACTCATATTTGAGTTTGCTTAAAGTTTATATTAAAATTTTTCAAAAGTCATGTATTACAGGGATATTTCAAAATTTCATTATCCTATATACCTCTATTTTCAATATAGTAACCAGTAATTCAATTTTAATAAAACTTATATCATTGGATTCGTCTTGATAAAAGAATTCTAATGATAGTAAATTTGCATTTTTAGCTTCAATTGATAGAGTTATATTATAAAATATATTTTTACTTTAGTACTTAAAGTTTATTTATGAGTTATATTGGTATTATTTGGGGTCCTATTATAAAACTATATAGATACAGTTTATATACAATAAAATTTATCTTAGTCCTATTAGGCTTTACAATTTATATTTAATAAACTATAAAACTATTTTACTATAAATTAAAGATGTTATCTAAAACTATTTTTTGATTTTTGAAATTGAAACCAAACTGAAACTAAAACTGAAACTTACCCAAAATTCTGAAACTATTCTAAAACTCCTAAAACTAGTCCAAAACTTCCAAAACTAGTCCAAAACTCCTGAAACTAGTCCAAAATTTCCATACTGAAGAAACAAACCAGTTTTTAATATTTTTGCAACATTTTTTTTAATAAAACATGACAAAAATATTTTTTTATAAAAATATTAACAAATAAACATTTTCGCAAATATTATTTATTAAAACATTTAAAAAATATTGCAAACCATTTTTTCTATTAAACTACTTAATGAAAAATATTTTTGCAACGTTTTCTATTAAAACAATTAAAAAATGTTGTGAAAAATGTTTTTATATTAAATTTTAAAATAATTGAAAAATATTGTGAAAAATATTTTTTATATTGAATTTATTAATAAAAACAATAAAAATATTTTCGCATTAAAACAATTGAAAAATATTGCAAAAAATGTTCTTTATATAAATTTATTAATAAAAAATAGTTTTGAAATATTTTTTACTTATTTTAAACTACTTTTAATAAAAACATTGAAAAAACATTTTTATTAAGTGATTTCATATAAAAAAATATTTTTTGCAAACGTTCTTATAGTAAAACAATTTGGTAAATGGTAATTATTGAAACTGATCAAACTCCTAAGTTTTACTAGTTTCAGATTAGTTTTACTAGTTTCAGATTAATTTTACCAGTTTCAAATTAGTTTAACAGTTTCAGATTAGTTTTACCAGTTTCAGATAGTTTTACCAGTTTTACCAATTTTGGAAAATAAAATTTTAGAAATAGTTTTACCAAGTTTCAGTTTTGACAGTTTCAAAAACTACTAAGTTTCAGGCAGCATCTTTACTATAAATCTATTATTGAGTTATTATAATAATATTAAAAATAAAAAGTAATGTAAAAGTATAATTCTACTACAGAGTAGAAATATGATCACAACTAGAATCATAATCTATAATTTGTAACTACAACTCTATATTTTTTTACATAGCTATAATTATACAACTATTTGAAAAATAATTAAAATGTCAATTTTACTATAAAGTTCTGCCACTTATTAGTAAAATAACATATAAATAATTAGGATTAATACTTTTTGTTTTAGATTTCATTTACTAATAAATATGCTTATTCAAAAATTACTATATAAAAAATTAACATATTCTGAAATAGTTGAATCATAAGTACTGAATTTAAGTGGTTATATTTAACTATCTAATTTTATATAGATATACTAAATCTAATTAATTATACTTCATATTGTTTTTGATAAAAATGCTTTTTTTTTTGAATTTTAATAAGAAAACAGAATTTTTAATTAACTAACTATTCTGACTGACTACTATAACTAACTATTTAACTAACTGTTTGACCAACCATT